TTCGATGAAATGTGAAGTTTTGAGCTTTTTTTAGTGTAATGAGTAATGGCAAAAAAAAAACACTTAAAAAATCTGCCAACTTTCAATTTATTTCTCTCTCATTTTATTTAACATAAATAACATATTATTATATTTTTTTATTAATTTTCACTTTACAGTAATAACTATATATAATTTATAAATTTTATTTAATTAATTTACAAATTTTTAAAACCATAATCCAAAAATAGTTTTACACTTTAATCACTTATACCAAACTAATTCTTCATTTCGTTTATTAGTAATGTTAACGTGTAATCAGAAAATTTTCAAAATCTCTATTTCTATATTTAAATTAAAAAAAAAGAGCACACATGAGTAATTCTCGCAGTTTACTACTCCCTAAGAAATAGCTAGAATTAATAGACCACTTAAATACTCTGGATTTTTTAGGATATATTACATAGTAAATGCCACTAAAGTACATTAGCAGTATATCAGCGAAGGGTTAATATAGTCAATAATAAAATGACGATTTATAATAAATTACTCTGCATCGTATTATTTTACCAAAGCCAATGCTATTTAAAAGATTACTTGCTTTGATTTATAAAAATGACTATATAACACTTCTCTCATTATCAGTTCTATCTATATCAGAAATGAACTTTTCTCACATTTACCTTAAATTTTGATATCTTGACACGAAAAGTTCTTTGTTTCATTCTCAGTAGTAATTATCAAAGAAATCCTTTCATTCTTTAGAATCTTCTTTCACTAGAATAGAAGTCTTGTCTTAAATATATCGCTGTATTCTATTTTTGAAATAAAAAAATGTAAAAGTAAGAAATAAGTTTGAATAGTAGGTAATAGGGTAGTATATAGAAATGTATAGAAGAAAATATGTATGAAATGAGACATATTAGTATAGAAACTCAAGTTCCATTTCAGTTACAAAGATATTGACTCTAAAAGTGTTCCATCAAACTTTAAGAAGCTCTTAGAATATTGTTTTAGTTGCAATAAAGCAATATCTTAACTGAATCTTCATATAGAAATAACAAATCTTCATGATTGAAATGTACTGTTAAGCTTCTACACTTCACTAACAAACCACTTTCACATTTTACAAGATAAAATACATTATTTCTTCACTTACTTATTGACATTTGGGTATGCTCTTACTCAAAATTTACCCATGCTAAAAAAGTAGGAAAGAGAATTTAAAAGTAAGATTTAATTTTTATGTAAAAAATTCTCACAATTGTGAGAAATTTCTTTTCTACATAAAATAAACAAAAACTATTCATATAAATAGGAACTGCTTTTTCACCTGTGCTCGTGATATTTCATTTTTTGAAGAAGGGTTAGATAAAATATATAACTCATTAAAAAAAACCTTTAATCTTGCATCTTCTCCTTTCATAACTACACGAAAATTATTAAATGAGTAAATTGTTTGTTTTTTCTCCTTATTTTCATGAATATATAAAATTTTAGTTATTATTCCTATTGTCTCAGAGAAGGATAAGATAGAAGGTGGAGGTAGCAGTGACAAAAGTGAAGGTAAAATCAGAAGTGAAGATGGAGGTAGAGGTGAAAGTTCTATATCAGCTTGAACATATTGTTAAAATGCAAGTATACAGTTTACCACAATTCTGTTATAATAGCCTATTATTTACTTGTAAATAACTTGATAAAGTATTATTAGTTTGACCTTTTGTAATAATATACTCAGTTACCTTTTTCTATTTTATTGACTTCTGACTTCAGCATATTATAATTACACATGGTTCAGTATTCATATAACCTACTAAGTAAAGTACCTTTAAAATTGGGATTATTTCAGAATTATTTTGCATAAAGAATGTAAATACATCTTTGAAGCTAAAAGAAAAAAAAATTTTATATTTTTATATGTGAAATGTTACATTCTCAAAAAGTACTCTAAACTGTATAAATAATGTATCGATCAATTGATTAGGATCGACCAATCACATAAAAGTCCTCTCATGATGAAATAATACAATAAGAACTCTTCAGGATCGAAATTCTAATTTGTATTAAAAACAAAATGTAAAATAATAATATATCATATTATTTATAAAATTAGATCAATCCAAAAATAATTTATGCAAATTAATAAATATAATATATCAGACAATCAGAGTAGATAAATAAAAATTATTATAAAAATTATTTGTCACAATTTAATAAAAAATCAATAAGTAATTTCAACACAAGTTTAACAGAAATTGGTGATTTCTCAACACAATTTTAATAAAATTTTAACAAAATTTAATACATCATAGAAGGATAATATTTAATCAATATAATATTATTATTATACTATTCATACTATTATTATCTCACACTATTTTATGTAAAAAAAATTAAATTAGTAATGTAAAATCAAATTACATATAACATATAAAAATAACAAATTATATATAGAATGCAAATCTCATAAATGTAAGATCACGTTTAATTTTTTTAAAAAACCCACAATCTTAAAGGTTTGTTTGTTTATTTAATTGATATTTATAATGTTAAGTTGTTAATTTCAGATATTAACATAATTTTCTACTTCATTTTCATAATATTTGCACTCTAAATCACTTTCATTATCTTCTTCTCCCTCTTCTTCAATATTAATATTTCTATCATTTTTATCTAATATTTCATAAAATTAAAAATAGAATTATCTTCAGTACTATCTACTGCTATGAAAATTTCACAACACTTAAAAAATCATTATACCATTGCAAAATCAATATTATCTCATGTCTATTTTATCCAAGTTGCTACTAACAAGTATGATAACTGTTTAATTATTCTTTTATAATCTCATCTATCTATTGATTGTAAGCATAATGAACCTATAATAAATTTAAAAATTAATAAAAATTTTTTACATTTATATAAGTTAAGTAAATCAATACTAAATTAACCTTTGCTTTAAATGCTTTATTTAAAAATAGATCTAATAGCTATAAATATAGGGTCAGCCTATCTGGTATAATAGCAACATCTGTATTTTTTTTTTATTAAACTGATGTTTTACTGAGTTTGTTCTATAAACACTAAATGAATTAAGAACAAGAAGAGACTGTAAATTTAAATTCAAATTAGCCTATTTACGCTATATATTTTCCACTCATTAAAATATTTCTTTCTCATCTATCTAGTCATTTGGATTAATATAAATAAATACATCATCTGAAAACTGTTTTTATGATACCTTAATTAATTTAAAAATTATAAATGGAGGCAGTTTAGTATTATTTGCAAGTTACTGTAAAATAGGTGTGTTCATATCCTATATAAGAATTGAAATAGTTCTCTTTTCACACTCTTCAATAGTTATCTAACTTGGTAAATTAAATGACATAGGTGTCTCATTCATATTACCAATTAATTTTAAAGGATAATTATGTTTAATTCTTCAATAAAAAATATATTATAGAAAACTTTATTGTTATTCATTATATTCTTCAAGTAATCTTTATATAACTGTAATATATCAGCGATTTACTAATAAATGATAAGATATAAATCTATTTCCTTATTTATGAGAAATTGACATTTGTGAATATCAGAATATAAGGTAAGATATTCTTGTTTTTAGCTAAATTATGAGCTTTTACACCAATTATATATCTAGTTACAGTTTTTAATTGATTTTTTAACTTACAAAATCACTTTAAAAGCTCCATCTCAAGTTGTAAATATTTTGGCTTTATACCAGTATTAAGGCATTGAATATATAAAGTTACATGCATTAAATCATTTTTCTTATTCTTCCAGTCATGAACTTGTTTTAATTGTATATTATATTTATTTGCAGTGACTTAAATACTGTCTATTTTTATGGTAAAATATAACTATTAATTTTTCTCTAGCATTCTATTATTGATGTTATTTTTGTGAATTTATAGCTTGTTATACATGAAAATTTTCTCTTAGTATTTTTTAAAATACTAATAATTGTTGATAATTTTAAATTTAAAATTTTTCACATCTTTTTTTTTGTTATAAGATAAATTATTTAAAGAGATATTATAAGCCATAATTTAAAAAAAAAATATTAATTTCTACATCCAGAAATTTTCTTGTTATTATAACCTAACTCTAATTTTTTAATAGATTGTTTAATTTTATAAAATTGAAAAGGCAGAGTTTGAAGATGCAGTGTTATTGATATAGAAGGTTAAGGCTTCTTTCATAATATTATGTTATATAGTTTTTCTTCTATTGCTTAAACATTTTCTATAATTTTTATATAAAAGAAGGAAAAGTATAAGTTTTTTCAATATTTGTAAAGTATGTATTAAAGGTTATATATACAATAAGAAGTGGTTGGAGAAGAAAAAATAAATTTAATATTTTTTTATTTATTAAAGTTATGTAATTATAACATCTATATATAGTATCTCCTGAATATTATATCACTCTTAAAATAGTATCTGGTTTCTTATTTAGTATTCATGAATACTATTCAATTTAAAAATCATATTTTTGATTAAGATCCTGAATATTGTATACAATGATATACGATATATACTTAAATTGTTATAATGCAATTATTATTAACAAATCTTTTGAATTTAAATAATATGCATTAGAATTAAAGATGGTCATCACAATTAAAAAAATAGTATAATTGAGTTGCAACTTGTGATGCAATTAAATTTTCTTATACAATGCATACAACCTAGTCTCAACTATTAACAGTCGGTATGCATGTCCACTGATCATGTTGTGTAACATTTTTAACTATAGGATCTGCAAGGTGCATTTATAATAAAAAATTTAAAATTATATAGAAAAACGCCAATTTTGCCAACTTTTCCTTATATGCATTAAGGGATGTTATATGTAATACATGATGTAAAGTAGCTTGGCTTACAGTTCGAAAGTAAATTTATACAATTTATCTTTCGTACTTGCTGTTTTTTTTTCTTTACAAGAATCTCAGTATTAAAGTTAACACAAAATTCAATTTATGACTTAAATTTAATATGGAAGAAAATTTGGCTTTTAAAAGAAAAGTTCCTTTATATCCCGATAGTCAAAAGAATTTTGGTATAACCTCGGCTACTCAGTTTTATGAACTGACTAATATTGTTAACACAAGTCAGCCTTTTGATAAACAAGCATATAATGAACTTCTTAACTTAGAAATATTTGAATTTAACCAAGAAAACTATAATAATGTGAAATCAATATTTGAACAAGAAGCTGCAAGTGATGATGATAATGGTTTTGAAACAGATTTTGAAGACCAAGTTTTTCTTCCACTTCCATTAACATCTATTGTTCCTTTACCTCCATCAACATCCATTACTCCTTTACCTTCATCAACATCTATTACTCCTTCATCTCCATTAACATCCGTTATTTCTTCATCTCCATCAACATCTGTTATTCCATCAGTACCCATTGAAGAAGCTGTATATAACCTTGACCCTGCTGTAAATACACATTTTTCACCATGTGTTTTAATTGATTATATAGATAATGAATTACAAACATGTGGTCAAACTACAAATCTTAAAAATATATGTCAATTAGTTAGAACCTGGCAAATTGATGAAAATGTAGTATTGGAGTTTTAATCAAAAGGAATACCATTGGGAGTATGTATAAAGCATTTTAATTATGATCAAAAGAAGCATAAAGCATTTGCAAAGCAGTTACGAGGGCCTGAACAAAGTAGGATTTGCCGCTGACACTGTTTATTTTATCATAAAGATTTTTATTTTTTTAGTCGTGGAGTTGGGTGTAAAAATCATCTATGGAATATATGGGGTAAAAACATTCAAGTCCTATGTATTGGTCTTTTTACATGTAATGCAATACATGAATGTCAGGGTGTTTCCAAACAAATTTTCGATGAAGTTACAACAACCCAATATATTTGTTACAATTGTTATGAACTTTATGGTGGGCATTTAAATCGTTGATCTGGACCTGGCAAGCGAACAGTTACTTGTGAACAACGTGAACTACATAATGATAATACATCTAAAAGTTTAAAATTATTAGCTCAATGGCTCAAACATGTAGCATGTAATGAAACAGAAGAAAAAAAAAATTATTTTAGCTTTTATGTTAGTTCCAGCTTTAAATTTTTTATTTGTCTCATATGAATCTTTTCCTTTAAACCATGAATATTATAATCTTAGAGACAATATATGTTATTCAAATCTTGATGAGTGCGTCAATAAAAAAGATTCACAAATAATTACAATTTTATCAAGATTACCTAGTTATTTCTTTTTAAGATTATTATTTAATATTAATCATATAGTCGAAGTTATACATCTAAAATTAGACTGGACAGCTGAAAAATGGAAAGAAATTGGAAAAAAATTAGGAAATGAAGTATGGAATACGCGTAAAATTATTATAGCAAATAAGCAGAAAATACAATTACCAACCTCTCTTTATACATATTATGCAAGTTTTCCAAAATTTTTAACAGGATTTTTTGATAGGATTATTGGTGAAATTTTTAAAAAAAAATTAGCAATTTTGAATTTTAAACGAAAATAACGTGACAAACCTTTAAAATAATTAGATAAAGAACATATTATTAAATGTGTAACATTTATGGTTTCACTTATCACAAGTATGGTATTTCCTTATCTTGGTATTTGGTTTATACAAGTAATGGCAAGTATGTCTCAAAAATCACGGTTTTTTCTATCATTCAGAAAACTCTTATCCACTCTTCATATAAGTGGACATACTGATAGTCATGAATACTGAGTAGAAAAACAACGGATGGCTAAAGTTAATTCAACTGAAAGATTATTAAAAGGATTAAATGTGTGGAATTTGGCCATTATTGATAACATTGATTTCAAAGAAAAAACTTTTACTTACGGAAATATTTTCGATATAACACGCAAAAGCTCTCATATAACACTTAGAATGGCATTTCAAATGCAAATGCCAATTCCTTTAGAAGAAAAAGCATGTGATGAGAAAAAAATTATTTCTTCATCAGGTCTTTTTGGAATGAACGATCAGATAAAAGATACATGGGATATGTTCGATAAAATTATTGATGACCTTTTGAATTTTCAAACTAATACTGAAAATCAAATTACCTATAATACCGATTTTGATATGACAACAATTCACCAAAAAATTCTTGAAAATGTTGATCATGGTTGTTCAGCTGATGCACCTAATATAGTCATTTTAGAAACTGGCGGAATTCCAAATTCAGACGAAGGAATATTTCAATCTACAGAAATGTATAAACAAGACTTCAAATTAGAACCGTATAATTACTTAGATGTAGTAGCTGATGAAGCAATCTTTAGAAGGTTAATCAAACAACGAGAACAATAGCCAAATTTGCGACCTATTCTTGGCTAATGGCATACATCGAAGGATATGTGTGGAGTTCTAATTGTATTATTTTCAAGCTATAGAATTTTTGATCTTGCAAAAGCATTAGGAGTCAAATTTTTAGATAAACTTGATAAAGTTGTAGATTATCATTCCACAGTTCGTGTCTTAGAATTAATATGATGTGCAGTAGTTATTGCTATTCACATTTACATAAAAAAACAAAACTCAATAAAGATAATATTATGGATGTAAATAGTGGTGCTAATAGTGTTTTGCGAATATGGTATCTTTATTATAAATGGGCATCAATCTTCAAAGCTCATCGTATTGGAATTCGTGTTGGTAATTATAAATTACAAAAAATGCTCTGGCTTGTTTTGCAGAATTATTTATATCAGCAGGAAAATCAAATTATTCAGTATCTGTTGCAAAATACCTTGGAATACTAGCTCAGTATCTTAAACTCGAAGAAAAATTAGAATGTGTATCATCAGTTAAAATTGATGATGACGAGAAACGAAAAGGTCACTATTTTGCTTTTGATGAAGCACTAGAGACATTCGGCGTTAAGTTTATTAAACAGAATATTACTGGAAATGTAATTGATGTCAATAATTTAAAGTTACAAGTTAAAGCCGCTCAAAGTGAATGAGATCGTATAAGAATATTATTATCAGAATATCTCAATGATCCTTGTGGATCAATCGGACAGAAAGCTGTAAATACCCGTAAATCAGTTATGTGAAATCTTGTAAATGAACTTTTGTTATCATTTTGCCATTCTGATGAATATAATTACTATCAAAATCCTTTGTGAAATACTACCTCTCCTAATCAACTTACAGCAAGTGGTATTGCATGTCTTAGTAATTGTTTTCCTGATGGAATCTTAAGAATAGAAGCAATTTTCTTACAAGACGTCATTTCAATACAAAAAAGTAATAAAGTTGGAAGGAGAAAGCTAGGAATTACGAGATGGAAACCTAACGATCAAAATTTAAAAAAGAAAAAAGTTATAGCTACTGTTGCATCAACATCATAATCAAATACAGAAAATTCTCATCAAGCTATTTCAGACAAACAGACACCAACCGATTCAACGAATATAGTAGATCAAGATGGATCACCAAAGAAGAAACAAAGGCAAACTCATCATGAAACTAAACTTGAAGAAAAAGAGCTTTTAGAACTATTGGTAACTTATTCTGAATATCCAACTAGTGATCAAATAAATCAGGTTGGAGAAACATTGGGAAATGAATGGGATAAGAATCAGATTAATCAATATATATCTCGTCATAGGCGTAATAAAAACAATAACCATGAATAAATTTAATAATTTTACCTTAAATAAAATTAAAAATTCTTTAAAGTTTCATTATATAAAAAATAAATGGTATTTTTTATAAGAAGTTCTATTGCATTTGGTTTTTTAAAGTGATTACGTTAAAAGATTTGCTAAAAATAAAGATCGTTAAGTACTTTTATTTTTATTTAAAAGTTGGTAACAAAAGAATCTCAGGGTTTAATGTCAAAAATAGGTAAAATTGCTGATAAAATAAAATTTCGCAGGAAAGCAGAAAAGGCCAAACTTTTAGTTATTTTGATAGAAGAAGTGCTATTGAAAAAATTATATTAAGAATAAAAACCGATTATATTGTGATTTAGAATGAAAAAACTTTAATGAAATATCTAGACAAATATTACATAAGAATTTTTAATTATGATCGACATGTAAATTGGACATGCATACCGACTGTTAAATTTTAACAAAATTCAAATTACTACTTCTTATTTAAAAAAAATGATAAACATAAAATATAATCATAGAATGGTAGAGCAGCTCAAACTCAACAAAACTACGATTTTAGATTTTCTATAAAATTATTTTTAATGGAGCAGTAACAATTCAAAGTTGTGACATTTTACTAATAAATCAGATATTTTGACTGCCTTATATGTGATACACGTGATTAATATGCTCATCATTGATTGGCTAATTTGTGCTCAAATACATTAAGTTAGATTAGATTGATTATATTTTAGTGTAACTAAATTGAGAATAAAACAATATTGTCTTCTATTCTCTTTTATAAATGAATTATTTTATTTTTAAATTCAAAATATAAGCCTTTAACATTTAAATGATGCATTTCTCTCCTTTATTTATTCAAAAAAAGGTAAAATAGATATTTAAACAAGATAAGTATTCTAATTTTTAAGCGGTTTACTCTAATTGCTACTATTGCATTCACATTATTTACACAATCACTAATATTTTTTTCTTTTGTCCATAGCTAGTGTGAGTAAATATGCATCAAATGAAACTTTTATTCTAAGTATCAACTGATTGTAAAACTGAATCAGAAACCCGGTAATGCGAACGGTATTTTTTGACTGCAAATTCTGCTGCCCAGCCTATCAAGCCTTTTTGGTATACGTCTATGTAGCGAAATGCTTTTCTTGCATACTGACGAATAGTTGTAAGTGAAACAGAAGCAAGAGCTAATAGAACAGTTCTTTATAACCCTATCTATGAGTAATTGCAATGTGATCAGCTAAATTTCTTGGCTGCATCCCAAAAGTTCTCAATATAATTAAGCTCACAATGAAACTTGGAGTAGAATATAATTTGATGTCTAGCTGCAATAATAACTTCTTATAGTCGTCCTTTTTGTGCTAAAAAGTCTGGTTGTTGACTTATTATTTCTCACGCTTCTTCTAATTTTAACCTTTCATTTGGCCATAATCCTCTTTCTATCAGAACTTGCTTTAATCCTTTTGGCTATTCACACAATTTAGTAATATGATAATCTAATGGAAAGATCATGTTCTGTCGAATCCCTTTACTAAAATTTGTGCTGTGCATTTTTTGCTGTTTTCCACCAGGACTGAGATTCATATGCTTGGTGATAAGCATGTCTGGAGAAAAAGCAGCATAACTTGATGCATTGTCAAATGCAAATAAAGCCAAGCATCCTGAAAAGCATACTTCAAATATGGGAATAGTAATATACTATTGATGAATCTGATTGGTTTAAATTTTATTTATTTTTTTTTTAAAAAGAATTGAAAACGTTTTATTCTTCTTCAAAAAATTTTTTTTATGTCTTTTTTTCTACAAATTTTTTTTTCCTATAATGGCTACTATTTAGCATAAGTATTTTAAAGTAAACAATATTGAGTCCAAGTCACTTTCTAATTTTCTTAAAGCTTGGAATAGTGATGATAAAAACCTTGATCAATTTGCTCATTGTAAAGCTATGGATACGTTCTTCAAGAGTCTTCATGTGATTATTTATAAAAGCTCAAATGGAAAAAAATTTACAAGGTTAATAACCTTTTAGATTACCTTCAGATTTGATTGTTCCTATCCTCCTTTTCATTATTTATTACTACGGACTTTTTGTTTATAACTTTTGCTGTTCACAGACTTTTCGTTCATGAGATTTTTCGTTCACAACTTTTATTATATATAACTTTTAGTCCTCGACTTATTGTCATTTACGAACTTTTATCATTCATAGACTTTTCATTCACGACTTTTATCATTCATGACTTTCAGTTCACAACTTTTTGTCATTCATGACTTTCAGTTCACGACTTTTTGTCGTTCATAACTTTCCGTTCATGACTTTTTGTCGTTCATGATTTTTCATCTACAAACTTTTATCGTCTACAGACTTTTCATCATTTACAGACTTTTCGTCATTTACAGACTATTTATAATTTATGATTTTTCATTCATGACTTTTCGTCAATGACTTTTTGTTATTTACAGACTTTTTGTCATTCATGATTTATTATCTATAGCTCGTTCACAGATTTTCTACCATGACTTAGATTTTTCATCTACGATTTTTTTATCGATAGATTGTATTTTAAGTCTAAATTTCTTTTTATTGTTAGAACTGACGCATTATTTACGAAACTAATTGTAATAACCCAGAACTGGGCAACCTACTATAGATTGATAATGTAACGACTACATCAACTGAACTGATAATTGGATTTAAGTGAACAGATGAAAATGAGAAAACATCAACTCTCCTAATAAAGGTCAGAATAAATGAATTACCAAATCATAAAAAGGTTAAAAATAATTGTAGATGGTAAAGCTAAGATAAAAACTTATATATATTTTACTATATTTAGGAGAAAATGAAGGCTATTGGATCAAAGCGAACTTATGAAACTGGGAATGAAATTGTGGATCAACAAAAAAAGTGAGATAATAAGTCAAGTACTTTTTGTTTCGGGTAATAAATAACTTACGTTTTATCTTGCAATTAGGACAAAATCAGAGTTTGCAAATATCAGTGATTTAGTAAGTCATTTATTGAGTTGATCTTTGTGGCTTATAGTTCTAAAATGTCTTCTGACGGTAATACATAAATAACACAAACCAGAGTGATAGCATGATTACATTCATCACAAAAAGAAAGCCTAAATACATACAACATGACTTATTTCAAGAATTTTTAACTAGTTTGCGTTTACTTCCTTTGGAAGGTGAAAAATGGTTATGAGAAGGTTACGATGTTTGTGACATTTTTTAAAATGACGCTAATACCAGAACGTAATATATTACCTGAAATACTTGTGATCCTTTGTGAAATTTTCACATTAATACATATTTATTTCTTGAAACAGTCTATTACACATTGATGTTGTTAATTTCCATAACATCTTATGTTCACGATCTCTACCACCATCCATGATTATATATATATAACACAATTGGAAAACGATGATGATGATTACATATTTTTTGACGATAACAGACAACGTGAAATCAGTGTTGGCAAATGACCTTGAAGTGACCTTAAAATGACCTAATCATGTGATGATTTTACTATGAAATATATCACGTGATCATGTACAAAGTGACTTAGGTCACTTCAAAAAAAGGGAAATGACCTTGAAATTTTCCAATACTGCGTGGAATAGCCAAGTTTGGAATAGAAGTTGGTCAAGAAGTTGAAAAGTTTCTTGAAAAATTTTAAGATTGTGTAAGTTTGTGTTCTTCGAACAATTTAACAATATAACTTCAGACAATTATGTCATTACAGGAAACACTAGATGCATTACGAAAAGCATTGTATGATAATACAATTTATGAATACTTAAATTATAGCTTTGATATCAAATATGCATATCAGTTGTTTTCACATATGTGTTTATAGCTTTAAACTTCTGCTGCAATTTTCAAAGATGAATACTCATTTTTTATTACGGCTTTTCATAACAAGATACAATATCTACTCAAATGATATGCTAAATCGACCTCTTACTGAGACTGAATATATGACATATGTGTGAACGCCACTAATACGATATGCGTTTATAGAGCAAGACATTCGCATTTCTAGGTATGTACTGTCTGATACTTTTTTATTGTACCTATACACTACCTATACACTAATAATTTTTGGGAATTTTTTTTTATTACAAATTTCAGCGGGGAAGTTGGATCTCTTGCGTATGAAAAGTTAAAGAAACTTTCTTAGCAGTAGTCAAAGAGTGGATTCAAAAGCAACGATTATATCGACAGGAATGGATGTACTCATTCAGGAAAATGCGAAAACTGATATTAGTAGCAAAAAAAAGAACGATTTAAATAAACTCGAGTATTGCACAAAAATATTACTTACCAGTGCTTATTTAGCACTTTCCACTATTACTCGCAAAGATTAAATTGAATTGATGAATTATAAATTGTTACATTTAAATTGATGCATACATTGATTTAACGCATATCTATAAAATACCAAGTTTTTAGAAGAAAAAAGAGATCTAATATGTGAATAATTTATTGCAAATACCAAGTAATATTTGTATGACTTTCATGTCAATGGCATTGTTCTTTGATATTTTTCAACATCATCAATTAGTTTACATATAAAGATTTATTGTGATCAAAATTTTTTATTTTCATACGGTAAAAAATATATTTATTTGGCAGGTGTTACAATACGCTAGATTTAATTCATTTAGTTATCACCAGGGTTGTAAATGTAACTTACACCTTGTAACTTACCAATGTAACTTATGGTAAGTTACCAGTAGGTAATGTAAGTTACATTTTATTAATAGGCCGGCATTAACTTAACTTTGACCAAAATTAAGAAAATTAAAATTATATAATATATAAAACATATAAACGTTATTTATTTATTTATTTATTCATCATTAT